GATATGCCACTTAATGGGACAGATGATGGAAAAAAAACATCCCCAGGTTACATGTAGGAGAGCTATGCTAAAAATTTTTTCAAAATGTTATTCTACTATTTTGTCACCGCGATTGATATACATACATATCTCCACGAAATTAAAGCTCTCTAGTGCTAACAGTCTCCAAGCAAAACCGGGGACGGACAGACAAACGGACATGATGAAACTATAAGGGTTCCTTGTCAGTACTACGTAACCTTAAAAAAAGGTTTATTACATTCTGCTAAAACTTTTTATTATTCAATGTTTTTTTTATCAAAAATTTCACCCCAACTTTATATGTAGGCGAGCTACCCTAAAAAAGGTTTTTTTCCAAATTTATATGGGACCAACTTCGGAGTATACCCATTCGTATAAAAAAAGAATTATCAAAATCAAAGGTCTATTTAAAAAGTAAAGCGTGATATTGGTCATACATAAAAAAAAATACGCGTCGACTTGACAACTTCCTCCGTTTTTTCGTCGGTTGAAAAATAGTATTTTCATGTAAGTATCGATCGTATTTTTTTTATATATTGATAAATATAAAGTCCTTCCCGTGCTATTTATTCTCCTTTGCCGCAATACATAAATCATGATGAAGCTTCCCTTTTGGGCTCGCTTTGTAAATGTTTGATGGAATACCGTGCCAATCTGTTCTAAGTGACACCCAAAGATATCGGAGAAGCTGCAATGTAACGTATAACGAATAGAGATGGGCCGACTAGCCGCCGACTAGTCGGGAAAGACGACTATTCCGCTTCGTTTATAGTCGGCGACTATTCGGCAAAACATGCCGATTATAATCGGCACATAACAATGAAATAAAACTTAAAACTTATACTTGTTTTGAATATTTAAACAGTACCTAGAGTATGTATTTAAAGTTACATACAGTCTTTAAAAAAATGGGTGCGTGTACTTATGTAGGCGCGTGAGAAGTTATTCAATTCAATTCAAATTATTTATTTCAGAACTAGGTTCCATAGTGTTAGTTACATTTGATTTACTTATAAATATGTTAGTATAATAAAGAATTATAAAGAATTACATAAAAATTACTTTTTAATATGGAGCTTCACCCAGTGTCGTAGCAGAGGAGTGTCCCACCGGTCATTAAACACTCTTTCTCTTATCCTTCTTTGGCATCGTTTAAAATTAGTTTTTAATTGCATGCAAATAATTAATTACAATAAATTAATAAAAAGTCTGGAAAAGGACACAGTCAATAAAGTTCAGTTTTAATTTGAAAAAATAAATAAATAATCAAAATATTCAATTAAAATCGCTACTGAATATAATTTATTAGAACATAATGTGATTTGCACTTGTATGAAACTCAAACACGTATTCCGAATATACAAACTAGAAACATGTGGATAAATATTATAAATATGAATACCTATAACTGTTACTTTATTACAAAAAATAAAGATGCGGTTTTAGGTTCTACTACACCAATGGTCAAGAGATGGCGCTGTAGTCTCCTGAATCGCGCTTTGGTTCCGTTGTTCCAGATTAATAAATACTTTTGATAGGCCTTCACAATGCAGTCGTTAGCACCCACAAAATAGAGATTCTATTTCTAGTTGGTAGATTTTCTTAATGTGCGGTAAACACAAAAGTAACAGCATGAAGTTGGTTGGCTAGCGACCAACTTCATGCTGTTAATTTTTTGTGTTACAGTGATGCGCGCGCATCTTAAAATTTCACTCTCATCATTTTTCATAACGCGCCTAAGGAAGTAAAAAAAAAATAAGGTTACATAATAAGAATTAGGAACTTAAGAATCTGTCAGTAATTCAGATAACTTAACACAATGAATAAGACATAAGAAATATAGCACATTACGAAATAGCAGTGGGAAGTAAGTACGTATTAATTGAGTGAAATCTTATGTGCTAGCGAGACTTAAAGAAGTCCATATGTTTTTTTTTCTTAGAGGCAAATTGTGATGTTGGAACATGAATATAGCGGCTCGTTTTGGGAGTCTCGTGTCGCGCGTGAGCAAGCCGAGTAGTGACGAAATATTCCAAATATCTTTAGCCGGTTGGTCGGCAAATACTATAGTCGGCCCATCTCTAATAACGAATATTCGGTAGGTATTCGGCACATATATGCGTAGTAAGCTAGTAAAAGAGAGTGTTTTAGTAGTGCTTCAAAGATTTTTCCTGTGAAGCTCGATGGCGCAGGTGGATAGCGCGGTCGGCCTGCGATCGTGGAATATAAATAGGGCTACCATCTCTTAAATGTGGCAACCAGGATAAGACGCGTGATAACCCCGGATTTTGGAGCCCAGAACCCGGACAGGCCAATAAAAAAACAGTTAAAAATGTCACAAATCAACTTTTTTATGTTGATCTAGGCAAAAGAGCTAGCGGTCTACCTCGTAATAAGTGGTCACTGCTGGCCATGGACACTTGCAGCACCAAGGGCCACTCATGCGTTGCCGTAAAATTTTAAACCCGGACTACAAATAATACCCCGCCCGGACGCTCCCCGGACGCCCTGTAAACTAGGGCAAATCCGGGGAAACCCGGACGGATGGCAGTCCTAAATATAAGCAACTTTCGCAATGGTCGGTCATTGAATGGGTGACCAAAGCTCATTATCTCGAGATCCAGTGGCTGATTTACTCTAAGGCTCGGGCCTAGGGCGGCCAGATTTAGGGGCGGCCCCAATCGACACCCTAATCTGACAAAATAAAGCGCTTCAGAAATCAAGGAAAAGGCCAAAGCATTGGAAATAATTAACTCTACTGACTTAGAAGACGATTTTTCAGAAAATGTCTCCATTTTCGTGCTCACTGCACTATAAAAAATGAAGACCGGAACAGTGCTGTCAATTTGTTGAAATGGTAACGATCTGAAGATCTTCAAAGCATTTACCCAAACGTGGATATTGCTCTTCGTATGTGTGTGTGTACAGAGGCGGCGTAAGGCGTGGGCGACGTGGGCCACCGCCTACGGCCTCGTGGTACAAGGGGCCTCGCGCCTCAAAAACTTTTATGCATTGCTTAAAAGCGATTTCCTTTTTTTTTATTTTATAAAATCCGTCTTCAGGTCGCCACAGAACAGAGCCTCCCGAAATCTGTCTTGCCCACATCAAATTTAGGTCTTGCCCCGCCACTGTGTGTGTACTCCCGCCAGTAAATGTTCTGGAGGCGAGTTTTGTAACACATTGTATTTTTTTTATGTTATAGGGGGCATACGAGCAGACGGCTCACCTGATGGTAGGTAAGTGATCACCGTCGCCCATGGACACTTGCAACACCAGGAGTATCACAAATATTATATGTTTAACACTTATCATATCTTTTCTTGTACTTTAAACCTAGTTAAATAAATAAAATCTAAAACCGTTTAAATGTTTTATTTAAATGAGCAATTATTCTTAAAACCTTGTAAACTATTAGAAATTAGCAGCTATTATTATTGAAATAATTATTTATTCTAGTTACTTTAACCCACGCTACCTACCCGTACTCCGTACGAATTAATTGTGTTTAATTAGATATTCAAATATTTAACTCGAAAGTTAGTGTTATAAGTTGATAACACTCATGTAAAAGTTATCATAACCAAGTATGCCAAGTTGGCAGAGTATGTTAGAGCAAATAACTAGTTGTAACAACTTATGTACCTTATTCTTGCGAAATAAAACAATTTTTTATGCGCTATTAAGTAGTAAAATATTCGCGTTTAGGCACAGTTTATGTGTGAATGAACACAATAATGTTACATATTGTTAGTTTAGTTTTGTTTGAAACTACCATCTTGCGGAGTAGAAAAAAAAACCCAAGCCAAGTGCGAGTCGGACTTGCGCACCGAGGGTTCCGTACAAACTCAATTTAATACCTCTACGCGTTCATGAAAAAAGTGGTAGTAACTTTAAAATTTTCAAAACTATGTTTTATTATGTGATGTAACTAAAAATTTACGGTTTTCTCAATTTTTCCTTTATCTGTATTCTAAGACGTTACTTCGTACCAAATTTCAAGATTCTAAGTTCACGGGAAGTACCTTGTAGGTTTTGATTCCCGTTCGAAAATTTGCGGCATATAAACAGCTCTATCTTTTGATTGCTTTGGCTTAGAAGTTAGATTTTTTCACAGCTCCAAGGGACAGTAGACAACAGTAGACAGTATTAGATATGAATATTCAGTTTGATACCTCCACGAGTTCCTGAGAAAAACGGTCTTGACAGACGGACGGACAACTAATTGATCCTATAAGGGTTCCGTTTTTTCCTTTTGAGGTACGGAACCCTAAAAAAAGATATTTGTCAACAACGCAATAATTTCATTTCCTGGTCTATTGAATGCAAGCAGAAACCAAAATCCATTTATAAAAACATGATAACTTAAAAGTTATGATAACTTACCTAACATTTTAGTATTTCACATTGGTGGGTCACAAAATATCACATTATTTAGAACGAGTATATGTATATGTATCTATACCTAAACTGTGGCAAAAGTTCATTATTAAAAAGTAAAAAATACACTTACAAAATACACTTCATTCATCTACTACTGTTTGTAAAATATGTACCTGAATCGAAAATGGATTAGAAACAGACTATTTAGGACAAATATTTTATGTTTGAAGAAGTGGCTTCGGCCCTAAAGGAAAAAAGAAAATTTCACAAAAAACTTTAAAATCTAGACTATGGCTGCATGGCTCTGCCTTTGCCTTTCCCAAGAAGGGAAGAAAAGATAAAAAAAAACTACTGTTTGATCGTCAAAATTGACAGATTAGTTTTGAAATGGTGTTTCTTTCGTGATTAAAATAATCCCATTTTCCGTCCTTGCACGACGATACACAACTTTTTACAAACAACTGACATGAGGTAGGTAAACTTATTGAGACTTCTATTACTTTATATTTATTGATTTATTTATTCGCGAGCATCGCCTACAATCAGCTGTGGCGTTTGACGGCCGTCATAATACTGCCAATCTGTAGACAAAAGTTGTAATTTTGGCATTTGACGTGACAGGGCGTCAGCTCTATTGTTTTTCTTTCTGCGGCCTAAATCTTGGCGCAATAAATTTTCTATTCATTCTCGTATTCGTAGTGGTTTGGTTTTGCAGATAATAGTAATAGCCCATGAGCGTCGTGCGTAGCTATTGGTGTGAGTTGCGGTGGGCACCTACGCCCTGGCTAAATCATGACGAGGCCGGGACCACCAAATGAGAACCTGCCTACCGTGAGTACCACCAGGGTGTCGCCTTCCTGGGCAGGGCACGTCTGACCTCCTGTACTTATTGTAATAAAAAATATGTTGTTCATTGTTTGATGATCTTTCACATTAAAATTTGTTTCCTCTTTCGCAATTGAGGAAATCTAGACAGAAAAACTCATTTGATTGCTAGAAATCACAAATTAATGATATGTTTTGCACATATTAAAACAGAATAGGAAAATAAAAAAATATTGATCAATTATACCTACTTCCTACACATTATTGAAAACCACTTGGTTCCAATAATATGATTTAAGTCCAGTATATTTAGATAATAATTACGTGTTTTCATTAGTGTTTTGTATAGGAAGTGGTTTTCGTTTGATTCAAGTTTGACATCTGAGGATTCTGAGGTAGCAGTTGATTTCTGAAATAAACATATTAAAACAACAGTTTGAGTTTTCTACATACATATTACTTTCATGAAATGAATTTATAATGTGAATCTTTTATGCCAATGTGAACCTATTTAGTAATATTTTGTCTAATTAGACTGCTGGTCTTGTTCATATGAATAGATAAGGTGATGGTGGATTTTGTGTTACTTTAAATATTGTGCAATATGCTTTATGAATTTTTAAATAAGTATCTGTGTGCTTTCAGAGTGGAACCTTTGTAAATGAAGCAATATGTCCATATTCAAAGATTGTGACAGTGTATGTGGCTTTTAGTTTGGTGTCAGTGAGCATGCGACCCTTTCTTGAAAGCAATCCAACGATTATAATGGCCAGATTGTGAATCTCCATGTTCCTTAAATAAATGTGAAAATGCCGTTGATTAAATATATTAATACCAGCCTTTGACATGATTCAGTCAACATTTTCTATTTATTAATTTCATTATAAGAAACCTACAGCACTATAATAATAAATAATATGAATAAACTATATGTGAAACAAAGGCCAATGAAGTTTCTATAATCATAATAATCATAATCAAAATCATTTATTCAGTTAAGGCTGTTACAAGCACCTCATGAATGTCTAGAAGCTTTATAGTTTCTACAATTTTGTAATAAGCACACTCAAAAGGAGTTAATCATAATAATAGGGTATTTGACAAGTTTTAGATAACAATCTCACGTTATTGACTAATAATTATGGAGTCCGTAAAAAGTGGATATTCATCATTCTGTTATGTATTTCAGTACAAATAACCAAATCAAAAACTCCATTTTCAAGTTGCCGTGAAAACGTTTCTCTGGACAATATGGTGTCTTTCTTACTAGTGGGTGACGTCACACAACTGTTATTAAAACGTCAAATGATACAATGTAATGGTACTTTAACCGGAAGTTTACTTGCGTGTGACGTCATTTTAGGCTCTGCCAATCCCTAGCGTTTTGGGTCACATGACAATAGATAAGAAAGCTATTATCTTTTTCGTGGGTTTTTAGTAAAATTATGAATTTTACTATAAACCCACTTGAATTGAATTTTTTTGTGAAAAAAGTAAAGACCCCTGTCAATATAGATGCTAACAATTGCCACTTTATTTTTAAAACTGTCAAATACCCTATTTGTTATGGTGAGCTATCAAGCTAGGATCTGTACCATGATTTTTGCAAGTCCCCAATATTTCTTCACCGTTGCAAGTGCTATGATTAAGAAGTAATACTACTATATTATTCACCATAAAAGTTTAACAAAAAAAATATGATGTAGGCATTTCCCGCATGGTTCCTATGCATTTTGCATGAGGCTTTCTCTCAATTCTCTCAGTCAATAATATTGATTGACATTTGCAGGTGAAGCTGGTGGTGGTGGGAGATGGTGGGGTGGGGAAGAGCGCTATCACCATACAATTCTTCCAGAAGCTGTTTGTAACGGACTACGATCCCACTATCGAGGACTCTTACATTCAACACACTGAGGTGGATGGTCAATGGTGCATTCTTGATGGTGAGAATCTAATAAAACATGATGATGGAACTCACTAGATTAGATATTTATTTCAAGTTTTTAATAGCTAAGTCATTGATAGATAAGCAGTTTTAATTTTTATTATTATAAAACATGTAACTGCTTGATGTTTAAATCTAAAGAAAATATGACTAGAAAAAATAGACAAAATTCCACGCGGACCAGGCAGCAGACAGGACTCGAACCCGCACAGAAGAAATACTTGTAAAAGTATTCATTTGACATTGTGGGTTACCTATAATGCGAAGAGATGGCGCTGCCTTGCAGCTTAAGAATGGCTAGAAGAATTTCGAGGTAGCATAATTGGTCAGTGCATTCGCCCGGATTGCGAAGGGTGCGGGTTCGAGTCCCGTCTGCTGCCTGGTCCGCGTGGAATTTTTTCTAGTTATATTTTCTTTAGATATAAGCAGTTTTGTTAAAATGAATAAATGGGATTGTCCTTTAGAATGCACTAACACAATAAGGCATAGCCGCATCTGGGGAGATCCTTATCTTACAGTTAACAACTATCAAGTAACATTATTGTGTAGTGTTATATTTCTACATTGGGTAAGGTTGTCGCCGAGTCTGTGTCTATGGATTCAGAGACCAAAGGAATGTGTTTTTGTAGTACTTACTTCTGTCATATCAATTATCTTTGTATCACTGAACTTACACCAAACATCATTTGTTTTTATAGTATGGATGAAAATACACATTCTGTAAAAAATTTCATTGCAATGTAATGTCACATTGACCGGAGTTTCTAGCAGGTGACGTCATCTTAGTCTTTGTTAATCCCAGGATTTTTCGGTCACGTGACCATAGAACAGGAAAACGTTTCTATTTAATGATTTTTTTAAGAAAAGTCTTTAATTGTTCTCTCAGAATACAAAATCGCTACTAATATTCATATAAAATACAGATGCAAACAATTTGTGATTTATTTATTTTTCATAGTATGAAATACCCTATTCAGTATACAGCTTAGTAAACGTCTCAAGCGACGACCATAGACAAGGAAGCTTGCGTAGTAGCAGTTTTACACGAAAAGACGTCTACTGTGCAAGTTTATTTGTCTGTGGTTTTGCTCAAGAAGTTTTCCGCGATCTATATACCTCAGGAAGCGTGTTGCAGAGTGTTGTATAACAGCAATACGAATTTAAAGAAAATTATACTAGAAAAAATTCTACGCGGATCAGACAGCAGACGGGACTCGAACCCGCACCCTCCGCTATCCGGGCGGATGCACTGATCATTATGCTGCCGCGGCCCTAATTGTCCGTGTCGAATTATCTAGCATTTCATAGGCTGCAAGGTAGCGCCATCTCTTCGCATCGTAGGTAATCCACAATGTCAAATACCTTTACAAGTATAAACATTTGGAAGAAGAAATAGCAGTTATAGTTATCTTATTTTTTTTCTAATAAAATTTTCTTTAGATTGAAACATCTAGCGGTTGAATGCTTAAAAATAAACAAGATTACAATTGGTATTTGTCGGTCCAGTCCTGGACACAGCGGGGCAGGAGGAGTTCAGCGCCATGCGGGAACAATACATGCGCAAGGGGGACGGGTTCCTACTCGTATACTCCGTCACCGACCAGCAGAGCTACCAGAACGTGAGGCACTTCCACACGCAGATCCTGCGCGTCAAGGACAGGTCAGTATACTGTACTCCGTCACCGACCAGCAGAGCTACCAGAACGTGAGGCACTTCCACACGCAGATCCTGCGCGTCAAGGACAGGTCAGTATACTGTACTCCGTCACCGACCAGCAGAGCTACCAGAACGTGAGGCACTTCCACACGCAGATCCTGCGCGTCAAGGACAGGTCAGTATACTGTACTCCGTCACCGACCAGCAGAGCTACCAGAACGTGAGGCACTTCCACACGCAGATCCTGCGCGTCAAGGACAGGTCAGTATACTGTACTCCGTCACCGACCAGCAGAGCTACCAGAACGTGAGGCACTTCCACACGCAGATCCTGCGCGTCAAGGACAGGTCAGTATACTGTACTCCGTCACCGACCAGCAGAGCTACCAGAACGTGAGGCACTTCCACACGCAGATCCTGCGCGTCAAGGACAGGTCAGTATACTGTACTCCGTCACCGACCAGCAGAGCTACCAGAACGTGAGGCACTTCCACACGCAGATCCTGCGCGTCAAGGACAGGTCAGTATACTGTACTCCGTCACCGACCAGCAGAGCTACCAGAACGTGAGGCACTTCCACACGCAGATCCTGCGCGTCAAGGACAGGTCAGTATACTGTACTCCGTCACCCACCAGCAGAGATACGCGTCAAGCTACGTCTTTTGTATTGGTAACGACGATATCAAAGAAAATGAGCGTAAGGTATTTGAAAACCTCCGGCGGTCAGAAACAACAAAATAAAATCGTGAGCTATAGCGATAGCCAAAGCGATTCCCTTAGGCGATCGACCCCCAAGCTTGCCCGATGTATTAATAGCAAATTCTTCTAGAATTTAGTGTTATAAGTTAGTTTTTTGAGAATCTCATAAGAATTTTAATTATTTCACTAATAGGCTGATGACAATATTTTTTTTCCAGAACACTAACATTTAAAACACTTTTAGATGGGTATAAAATTCTATTTATTATCTATTGTCATGAATTCTATCTTTTAGGTTTCTTTGAAAGCTCTCATTTTTGTCTAGTCAAAAAGATCGTTTTTTATTTTATTAATCTATAGTCGGGCAACGCAGTTCCATAGTTTAAAGTCTAACATATATACAGATAATATTTATTTATATTACAATCCTGATGATTAGTCAATGTAGTTGGATAATGATTTTAACGTTGCACAGGGACACGTACCCGATGCTGGTGGCAGCCAACAAAGTGGATCTCGTACACGCGCGCGTCGTCAGCGAGGATGCTGGAAGAGATTTGGCCCGAGCCCTCAACGCGCCATACATCGAGACCAGCGCCAAGGAGCCGCCGCTCAACATCGACGCCGCCTTCCACGAGGTAATATATACACACACAGGACGGCAGAGATCTGGCCCGAGCCCTCAACGCGCCATACATCGAGACCAGCGCCAAGGAGCCGCCGCTCAACATCGACGCCGCCTTCCACGAGGTAATATATACACACACAGGACGGCAGAGATCTGGCCCGAGCCCTCAACGCGCCATACTGAGAGACCAGCGCCAAGGAGCCGCCGCTCAACATCGACGCCGCCTTCCACGAGGTAATATATACACACACAGGACGGCAGAGATCTGGCCCGAGCCCTCAACGCGCCATACTGAGAGACCAGCGCCAAGGAGCCGCCGCTCAACATCGACGCCGCCTTCCACGAGGTAATATATACACACACAGGACGGCAGAGATCTGGCCCGAGCCCTCAACGCGCCATACATCGAGACCAGCGCCAAGGAGCCGCCGCTCAACATCGACGCCGCCTTCCACGAGGTAATATATACACACACAGGACGGCAGAGATCTGGCCCGAGCCCTCAACGCGCCATACATCGAGACCAGCGCCAAGGAGCCGCCGCTCAACATCGACGCCGCCTTCCACGAGGTAATATATACACACACAGGACGGCAGAGATCTGGCCCGAGCCCTCAACGCGCCATACTGAGAGACCAGCGCCAAGGATGTCGGGACGAGGTTCCAAATTATATGCTATTTCACGTTTGACAGTTCTTTATGCATCACACAGATCACACAGTTTTATCTTAAACCAACGATATTGAATACCCTAGATACACCATGTGCGGTCAAAATGTGTCCCAATCAAGAAGTGCTTGAACGCCACTCAAGCACTTCTTGGTTCACAGTCATGTGCAGATCGTTGAAAAGTCAAGATGCCGCAGAGATCCGTGAGAAAATGAGAATTAAATATTTATAGTATGTAAAGTATCCATTTTCGACAGGTATCATATATTTGAAGCAAATTTTTGTTCTAATACTTACTTATAAACTGATTTATTAGAAAATATTTGTGATATTTAAATGCATGGTCGGTAATATAGCCGTCTCTTTTCCTCGCGATCCGTACCTGCTGTATCGGTAACAGCGCATTCAAAATTGCGCGTAGAGTCAAATAAATAAGGCCTATATTCTTTCGTATAGCAATAAATCGTAAAATTTTACGAGCTTGCATTTCGAACTGTTATAACTCTTTGACGCATGCGTAATAAGGAACTCATATACTATGCATTAAAGGTGACTTCGAATGTTTAATATTTTATATTGTTTTTGACTACTGTACCCCTCGCACGAACCAATATCGAATTCGTATCGTTGGCGAGTCCGAAATGTCATTGTCAAATGTGTACTGATTTTTAGTTGTCGTTACGTACTTTGTGCCGCTGCTATTCAAGTTTCCATACAAAATTTGACGTTGACATTTCGGTTTGCAAACTATTCGAATTCGATAATGGTTCGTGCTAGGGGTACTGAATCATTTTGGGGAGTTTCGTTGATCGTCCAATGTACCTTTTGGACACGTTTCAGCCACGGTTTTGTTCGTGTCGTTGTATTGTTGTAAATGATATATCTATATATTTTTTGAAGTTATACTTCTTTAGGCGCGTTATGAAAAAATGATGAGAGTGAAATTTTAAGATGCGCGCGCATCACTGTAACACAAAAAATTAACAGCATGAAGTTGGTCGCTTTAGCGACCAACTTCATGCTGTTACTTTTGTGTTTACCGCACATTAAGAAAATCTACCAACAAAATAGAAATATAATCTCTATTTAGTGGGTGCTAACGACTGCATTGTGAAGGCCTATCAAAAGTATTTATTAATCTGGAACAACGGAACCAACGCGCGATTCAGGAGACTACAGCGCCATCTCTTGACCATTGGTGTAGTAGAACCAAAAACCACATCTTTATTTTTTGTAATAAAGTAACAGTTATAGGTATTCATATTTATAATATCAAAAGTATTTATTAATCTGGAACAACGGAACCAAAGCGCGATTCAGGAGACTACAGCGCCATCTCTTGACCATTGGTGTAGTAGAACCAAAAACCACATCTTTATTTTTTGTAATAAAGTAACAGTTATAGGTATTCATATTTAATATATTTATCCACGTGTTTCTAGTTTGTATATTCGGAATACGTGTTTGAGTTTCATACAAGTGCAAATCACATATGTTCTAATAAATTATATTCAGTAGCGATTTTAATTGAATATATTGATTATTTATTTATTTTTTCAAATTAAAACTGAACTTTATTGACTGTGTCCTTTTCCAGACTTTTTATTAATTTATTGTAATTAATTATTTGCATGCAATTAAAAACTAATTTTAAACAATGCCAAAGAAGAATAACTTCTCACGCGCCTACATAAGTACACGCACCCATTTTTTATTAGATATTCAGTGTTAAAACAATGATTGTGTGAATAATATTCGATAATCTCCGTGTATGTAACGTAAAATTGGGCATTTCGAAAGTTTAGAGTTTTTAATTTAATAGTAAGCGATTTTAGATTTCCATAAGTGTACACATCAAAAAATCTTTATTGATATCAATGGTCGGCCGTATAGGAACACGTGTTCTATGTTTGACATAGTATATGTTTATGTATTAGCGTAAGTGCAGATCAAAATATAATAAAAGTACATGTTCAATATGCAACGCATTTACTCCATAATAGGGGTGATGACGGGGTACAGTAAACGAAATTCTATTTAGTCCGTCAGTTTGATGATCAAAAATTAATGGACACGTATTTTTTCTTTGGGCAATCAACCAAAAAATGACAAAGTTAAAGCGCGTCAAAGTTTGGGAGTAGGAGCTCGTGACGTCACATTTGAGTGAAATTTCACTTATAAGTGCACTCAAACGTGACGTCATGCGACTTTTCAAATCAATATATCTCTGCATTGTTTATATTATGTGAAAAAAGAAAAAATACCTGTCCAATACTTTTTGATAATCTACCTGATAGACGAAGAAAAAAAGTTATATGTGATGTTATATGTTTTAATATAGTCGCGTAGCACAGTTATATATTTATGATTTTATTTTATTTTTAAGCATTCAACTGCTAGATGTTTAAATCTAAAGAAAAGTTTACTAGAAAAAAATCCACGCGGACCACGGCCCTATTAGCCGCGTCGAAATTTTCCTAGCCTTAAGCTGCAAGGCAGCGCCATCTCTTCGCGGATGGAAGGATGCCGGTTCGAGTCCCGTCCGCTGCCTGGTCCGCGTGGATTTTTTTCTAGTAAACTTTTGTTTAGATTTAAACAGTTATATATGTTCAGAAGTGATATATCCGTTTATGTGTTGTTGCGATAGTTGGTGCGTATCATCCGGAACCACCCGCAGCAGGAGGTGAAGCCGCGGCGCCGGCGACGACTCTGTGCTCTGCTCTAATACCAAAACTCGACCATCACTATTACACACACCAGGTAACTATTGCTTCATGTTGGATATTTTGACAACAATCAATTAGCCAGGATGGCTTATACTATTGCCACTGATATACCTAGCCTGCGCAGACGAGGGAGATTTTTTTGAAGTGAAACTTCTTTATCGGCGTTGGAAAAAAATTTACCGTCACATTTTTACGGTTACGCGTCACGTTTTTTGGTTAGGCGCCATCTTTTTTTTAAAAGAGCACTATTTACCTCATCCGAACAATTGATTCTTCTGCCAACTTTAAAAAAAAAGTATCGACAGCAAATATTCGTGTTTCACACAAGGTAAGGTAAGGTAAGGTAAGGTAAGGTAAGGTAAGGTAAGGTAAGGTAAGGTAAGGTAAGGTAAGGTAAGGTAAGGTAAGGTAAGGTAAGGTAAGGTGTAGTTATACCCTTTAGTGGGTGAGTTTTTGAAAAATCTTAGCGCACGCCTATATATATATTTCTGGAAAGTTGCATGTAGATCATTTTTCGAAAAAAATAAGGCAATAAAGAAGTTTCACTTCTTACGTGTGTACACTAGTACACGCACACATTTTTTTCCGCTATAATAGACGGCTTATAATTGGATCGAGAGTAACGCTCGCGACGGATTTAAAGTACCGCGTACAAACCCGGATGCATTGTAGGGTATCACTTAAGGATATGAAAAATAAATAGTAGCCGATTCTCAGACCCACGGAATATGCATATAAAATTTCATAAAAATCGGTCAGGCCGTGTCGCAGGAGTATGGTTACTAACATTGTGACACGAGAATTTTATATATAAGATTTAATGCTAAATATTTATAATTTTTATGAAATGTGTCCCATCTGGTGCCTAGTTCGCGTCGATTTGTTTCTAGTAAAGCTTTTATTTATATTATGCGATTCAAATAAGAATAACAAAGCCAATGACCTCCAACTGTCAAATATCGCTAAAAAAGTACGGTTTGCAAAAAAATCTTGGAACCCTTTTTTAGCACTCCGCTAATTCTAGAATAAAAACCACACATTTTGTAAACAAACAATAACGAATATTGATAATTAATATAGCTTGATATTTTTTTTTCATTTATTGAGCTTTGACTATGAATGGTTGATAACCTAAACCGCCAAGCATATGTCACTTTAAGTTGCGTTCAGAAACTCAATTTAAAACTTTCGTTTACCTAAAGGATGCATATTCGTATGTGACCTAGTAATAGTGCTTATTTATTCATAACTACTCCGGCGGTAATGCAGAGATGAACGGAATTAAAGAGCTAGATTTTGATTTATGTTTTTTCTCACACAGTCTTAATAAATAAACATTATAGGTAACCCACAATGTCAAATGAATACTTTTACAAGTATTAAACATTTGAAAGAAGAAATAGCAATTATAATTATAATTTTTATTATTTTAAAGCATGTAACTGCTTGATGTTTAAATCTAAAGAAAATATAACTAGAAAAAATTCCACGCGGACCAGGCAGCAGACGGGACTCGAACCCGCACCCTTCGCAATCCGGGCAAATGCATTGACCAATTATGGTACCGCGGCCATCACGGACCACGTCGAAATTCTTCTAGCCATTCTTAAGCTGCATGGCAGCGCCATCTCTTCGCATTATAGGTAACCCACAATGTCAAATGAATACTTTTACAAGTATTAAAAAAATCTGATTTTTTTTCTTACTTAATCTTAGTAAGAAGTTTTATTAAATAAAATCTTTTTTTTTGCTCACTCTACCTATTTGGTTTGAATTGACAGCTATGACGTGAAAATATGGCGCCCGGTCGGTCCTATACTTAGTTGAATCACATTATAATTATCATATTCCATCATTACACATGAGAGAGATTATTATTATTATCAGATTATATATTATTTTATTGACCACATTACAACACAAAACAATATATGTGCAAAAAAACCAGTGAAGAAAAAGAAGAGATTAATTAAACTCAAACTTAAATCATTCAATTATGGTATCATTTGTGCATAATGCTGCCGCAATACGTCACAAAACGTGTCACAGCAGCGCTGGTATTCTGGCAGGGCCTATAATGCCGGTACTTCACATGGCCAATCGCATCCGCCATCCGCATACCCAACAGCAGTCCCCCCCTCTCACTCCCCGTAGTAGAGCGCGATATGGATACACTGCTAGCAAACCAACATATAGCAATCACAATTAGCCGCATGACGCGCCGGCATACATGACATGAAAAGGTTTCGAAACCCTTTCATGTCAAGTATCCCGGCTCCTTTAGGTTCTTTTTAGGGTTCCGTGCCTTAAAAGGAAAGAACGAAACCCTTTATAGGATCACTTTCTTGTCCGTCCGTTCGTCCGTCGGTCCGTCCGTCTGTCAAGACCGTTTTTCTCAGGAACGCGTGGAAGTATCAAACTGAAATTCATATCTACTACTCGATATCTACTGGCCCTTGGAGCTGTGAAAAATCAAACTTCTAAGCCAAAGCAATTAAAAGATATAGCCATTTATGCCGAAAATTTCCGCAAATTTTCGAAACTTGCACGGGAATCAAAATCTACAGGGTACTTCCCGTGAACTTAGAATCTTGAAAGGAGATTGCTCAGCTTCCATACATGTTTGGCCTAAAGACCAATAATGATGAAAAATTGTTTCCTTGATTCGAAATTATATATAAATTACTGTAGAAACGAATATTATTGACGGACACCCCTGAGAACTTCTATAAACCTTATACACTGAACATATTAAAATAATAAAAAACAAATAAGTTATAGAGTAAACTAGGGAAATCAAGACAAGTACCGAAATTATAGATTAGATTCAGGTATATAGAGCATGTAGATTAATAGATAGTTGCCTGTTTTTAAAGTTAATGCACAAGAGTAACTTTTAAAATCAGGTGTCATTTCCGGTTATAATATGGTACTCTGTGACAGAAACTGTGTGATGATTGTGAATGAGCCACAGATTAGAGAGAATTTTTAAACTCTCGTTAACCAAAGAAAGCTTCTTAGCTTTAGAACCTAAATCTCTTGATTTAGGTTCTATAGCCATATATTCAGTAGCTTCATTATTTTTGTTATGTTTTTAAGATGAAATGATGAAAGATTTTAGATTTTTAGTGTATCACACCTTAAAATGTTATTTATTTATTAATTTATAGTCAGGGAACGTGGGCTCATAGATAGATACCTTAAAGTCTAACATATATACAGATTATAATGTGTTTATGGAAAGGGTTTGGCGAAAAATGTATGGCAATAGACTTTATGATGTCGCCTACCATCTATAATAATTGTCTGAGCACATTTATATCTAGTGAAAATGATAATATAGTTGTGGATATTAATACCACAGTGTAATAAAAAAAATGACTTATTTTATCGATCTTTACAAAATAGATTTGTTTTTATGTTATATAAAAAACTTCGATCAGTCTTTGGCTGAATGTTACTACACCCATAGCCATTAAAAATGATTGGTATGTTTTCCAAACCGGTAAAATTATAAGTCCTTTTTAAAGTTAATATATTATACAAAGGTGTCCGTTGAAATCTAATGACTGTAAATTAAATTATAAATTACGCCAAGAATTACCGTGTATGTCAATATTTTTTGTGCATTTAGGCCAATTTGACCAATCTCCTTTGCTACGAAGTAACGTCTTATAGTACAGACTAGCGGCCCGCCCTCGCTTCGCTTCGGTGTAGAGGTGAAGTGTAGACTACAGTTTTTGTTCTCAGGCTTGTATTATACACAATGACATTCATCTATGATTCTTCTTATACCTGCATGCAAAGTCTCAGCCCGATCGGTTTAAAATTGACAAAGTTTCATACAAACTTTCTTTTCCTATTTTATCCCCTTGGGGATAGAATTGATCAAAATCCTTTCATAGCGGATGCCTACGTCATAACATCTATCTGCATGCCAAATTTCAGCCCGATCCGTCCAGTGGTTTGGGTTGTGCGTTGATAGATCACTATGTCAGTTAGTCACCTTTGAGTTTTATATATATAGATAAAGGAAAAATTGCGAAAATCGTAAATTTTTAGTTACATCATATAATAAAAAATATTTTTGAAAATTTTAAAGTCGCACGACTCGCACTTAGACGGGTTTTTTTTAATATTGTCTGGAATAAAGTATAGTATTTACTTGAATTCCATTGACATTCATGTTCGGGCTAGCGACCAAGTGTATTCGAGCTATTAGTGTCAGGTGATTACTTATTTAGAACCACCATTTTTGTCCTGTTTTGTGTTCGAATAATGTTTACCCCAGGCGATAGATGGTGCTATTTTACATTTAGTAATTTTTATTTCAATGTTGCTAGTTTTGAATAATAGTATTTGTTGTTAACAATTCCGTAACTCTAAAGAAAAGTTTACTAGAAAAAAAATATATGTAAACATCTAGCAGTTAAATGCTTAAAAATAAATAAAAACATAACTATTTCTTCTTTCAAATGTTTAATACTTGTAAAAGTATTCATTTGTCATTGTGGGTTACCTATAATGCGAAGAGATGGCGCTGCCTTGCAGCTTAAGAATGGCTAGAAGAATTTCGACGCGGTCCGTGAGGGCCGTGGTAGTATAATAGGTCAGTGCATTCGCCCGGATAGCGAAGGGTGCGGGTTCGAGTCCCGTCTGCTGCCTGGTCCGCGTGGATTTTTTTATAGTTATATTTACTTTAGATTTAAACATGAAGCAGTTACATGCTTTATAAAATAATAATTATAATAGTATTTGTGGTTAACTTTTCGATAATTGTTCACAGGCGCCGTAATACAACTGTGAAGCTGTGTTGATTCGATACAATTACTTCACAGGAATATTGATCTGGGACAGAGATGAGGTATTTACATCTTTGCTATTTAAGAAGAGTATAGGAATCGGACTCTTCGGTTTAATACAGCAGGCTTTAATAAAGCACTATTAAGGCTCTTTTCAAATGGCTTTAACTCGGAAGAAATCAGAGCAAAATCACAAATGCCATTCTGCTGCAGCGAAGCAGTTTATTCGCACAATTGACAAGTTTTCGTTCCTTATTGTATGATAATAATGACAAGAGTGATCTAATTGAAAAGATGTAAAATTATGAATTGTACGTACTAATGATTTAAAAGAGGCTAGTAATATTTTACGTATTAGGATACTGGAAAAAATTGCACAAATACGCTGTGCTTAAGTCTTCGAGGACGAAAAACAAGATGGGCATTTTGTAACCAAAAATTTTGTTTTGTAAACGTATTAACCAAAGCTGAGCATTTATATTAGATAACTTTAATTTATGTACTGACATTATGATTGGCTAATTGCTTTTTTCGTGCTGGCACGATGAGGCATCGTTGCATCCTCTTTGATTTGTTAAATTGAAGAGAGATAGCATTATTGGGTTTATTCATTATGCAACTATACAGGGTGTTACAAAAATACAAATAAAGCTTGAAGGGCGTTGAAGTACATCATTTAAGGAGTGTTCTCTAATTTTATTAAAATGTTTGAATGAAGATTTAATTTTTGATAAAAACAGTTATTTTTAATGATTAATAAAAATATCGATGATTTTAGGACACGTCACTAGTTCGAGGATCATTAAAAATAACTGTTTTTATAAACGTACTTCAACGCTCTTCAAGCTTTATTTGTATTTTTGTTACACCCTGTATAATCGTAAATTAAAGCAAAGACTTTATTCAATTTAAATATGAGGAAAGCAGTGCTTTGGAGACAAGATATTTGATGATGATGATGCTAGTCCTAAAATTGAGTTTGATAAGATTGTATCCTTGTCATTATTCATAGAGAATGAAAAGGACAGACTCATGCCAACATCGACATCACTGTATCCTATATATTTGTTTATTTATTTTAAGATGGCAGTGTAGCCAGTTTAGTGCAATGTGATCATAAATTGGTGTAATTGGTTGGTTATAACCGATCATGGCAACCCCGTGTTTAGCTTTAAGTGATACCAGAGATCTATACAATACGCTCTGTATCTATGTTATTTGTATTAATTATTATTAGTGTTGTTACACGGTCGACACAGTGGCGTTTAATCATCACAACTATTTATTTATTTAATTCCAATATTTATTGGTAATGCCAAAGATTGTACAATGGACTGACCTTATTTTGTTAAAAAAGCGTGTTTGAAATAATGTTTTAAATAAAATTGAGAACTGAATTGTTGTTTTTTGAGTTAAATATTTATTTTGAAAGGAATAAAAGTGAGTTATTTAATTATGATTAATTAAAAGTAACTTATGCGAATATTTGTTAATGGCAATTAAAAGACATTTGAACTACATATAATATGAGTTTTTGGCGGGATTTCATCGACTGTGGTTGGCGTCTTATTTTAATTATTCTTAAATTCGTCCATAGTGGATATTGTGAAATAAAATTGGTGTGATTTTGTGTTACAACTGTCTGCGTAATTGAAGAATTAGTAGAATCGTCAAAATATACGCTATTCCGGTCAAGTGGACGTGAGAATGTTATTGTAGTATTGACTACCTCACAGAAGCTTATCGAAAAAGCCAGCTCGATACATTTCGTGCCAAACACTTCAAGAAACATTAGAATGCGTCACACCGACATTCTAATGTAAAAAGAAAAACAGAATAATTTAACTTAAGACTAGGCTGTATGGGCATTGTTCCCCTTGCCTTCCCTGAAAAGGGAAAACTTAACCAAAAAAAAAATGAACTACATATTACAATTTTATGGATTTTTTTTTATTAGATACTCAGTGTTAAAACAATGATTGTGTGAATAATATTCGATAATCTCCGTATATGTAACGTAAAGTTGGGCATTTCGAAAGTTTAGAGTTTTTAATTTAATAGTAAGCGATTTTAGATTTCCATAAGTGTATACATCAAAAAATCCTTATTGATATCAATGGTCGGCCGTATAGGAACACGTGCTCTATGTTTGACATAGTATATGTTTATGTATTAGCGTAAGTACAGACCAAAATATAATAAAATTACATGTTCAATATGCAAAGCATTTACTCCATTATTATAGTGATGTTATATGTTTTAATATAGTCGCGTAGGCACAGTTATATATGTTAAGATATATGATAATTTTATTCTGATGTAATGGATATCTAATTTCTTAATCATCCTTTAATTAAAGTGTTATTTTTGATAGAAGCAAGTATAGACCCGGGTCAAAGAACTCTCACTAATATGCTGACCTCGATTAGCTACTTTCTAATCTACAATAGGGGTGATGACGCGGTACAGTAAACGAAATTCTATTTAGTTAGATGATCAAAAAATAATGGACACGTATTTTTTCTTTGGGCAATCAACCAAAAAATGACAAAGTTATAGCGCGTCAAAGTTTGGGAGTAGGGGCTCGTGACGTCACTTTTAAGTGGAAATTGTACCAAAACGTGACGTCATGCGACTTTTCAAACCAATATATCTCTGCAATGTTTATATTATGTGAAAAAAGAAAAAATACGTGTCCAATACTTTTTGATAATCTACCTGATAGACGAAGAAAAAATAATTAGTCATCATACCTATTATGTCGACTATAGTTTTGGAGAAATATCTTGAGATATAATACTCTATCTTATCGCTATATTCATACAAATCGCAAAGGAAGGCTGAAACTAAAAGATTATTAAAGGGGGATTCTTTATAAACAAATTGAACTCTAATACGATGTAAATATGGCATAAAGTAATTTAGTTAGATGATTTAATGCATGCACACACACGCACACGTATGTAACTCACACACGTAATGTAAGTAGCGTAAAGAGAAAATATAACGAAAATGGAAGGAATTGAAAAAATATTTAAATTATATATATATATATATATATACACAGGGTGTTACAGAATTCCGAAATAAAATTTGTAGGTATGTATTCCGAAATAAAAATTTGTAGGTATCTGAGCGGGGCGCAGGGGCGCCTGGGGGAAAGGGGGGGGGGTCTGTTTAGGTAGTAGTAATCGTACGCATTTATAGGATTGTCATAGGCAGGTGTATAACGATATTTTTATTAATTCAATTAGAAAATAAAAGTGGTCTGAAAGGCGTCAAACTTTCGTAGGTAATTCTATACAAGCAACACAACCAAACCCTAAAGTTTTATTTCGGACTTTTGTCACACCCTGTATATATAGATCATTACGTGATGTTTTTATAAGTGTTCCATTAATGTAAGTGTTACGCGGTCGCGGGAAGGGGGGGGGGGGTTACATCATCCGTATTTTAATATGATTTTGGTTCTTCGCGACTTTGCAAACTTGTATTTGTTAGAAAACAAAATGATTATAATTTATACCTGTAGGTATTTAGATGTGACATACAATGCATTGAATAAATGAGCTATAAAATTTATTTGAGATTATTTTGTGAAAGCGACAAGGGGTACGACGTTCTTGGAAAACCCATAGTCGCTTAGTAGCAGGTCTGTGATATCCACCCGATTAATGTTTGGTCTATCATTGAATAATTCGCTAAGAAAAGATTTTATATTTGTGTTTCGTTGCGATCGATCTTAAGGAAATCGTCAACGATCGATCGTTCAGAAATGCCACTACATACACGAAACGATTGATCTATCATTTACTTATTTCAAACGGTAGGATAAAGACTTACTCAAATAATTCAATACTTTTCCTCTAAAATGGAAAACGAACTCATGATTGCATGAACGATATTCATGATTGCATGGGATTTGGTTGCGATTTGCGATATCGTCTTCGATTAAGTAAATCGTTAACGATCTTGACATACACTGTCGATCCATCGTTTCGATCGGTCTGATTCGACGGATCGTACAGATCAATCGTACCGTATATGGGACACTGACGATCGATCGTTCACGATATTCATGATTGCATGGGTTTTTGTTGCGATCTCCGATATCGTCTGCGATTAAGTAAATCGTGAACGATCTTGACATACACTGTCGATCCATCGTTTCGATCGGTCTGAAACGACGGATCGTACAGATCAATCGTTCCGTATATGGGCCCCCTTAAGGTCGTAAATTATGAACGGTGTGATTTGACGTATTGAACTTCCGTCAATCCTTAGGCGTATGACGTCAGATAATCTTAAATAAAACTAGTTTTAACGGGTTAATGCACGAAACTTTATTTATTTATTGACGTTTCTCAGCCTTTTCAGGTCTGCTTCGTCAGAATGATTTTTTATTTGAATTTTAGTGATTCTGACGAAGCAGACCTGAAAAGGCTGCGAAACGGCAATAAATAAAGTTTCGTACATTAACCCGTTAAAACTAGTTTTAATTAATAAGTGATGTGCGTGAAAACTTAAGAAACAAATATGTCAGATAAATCTTTTGCCGCATTCGGTATTCCTTGTTGTTTAATTTTAAACGCAAAAGTAGAAGTTGTTTTTGTGAAAACCATAAAACCATATTTATTTATTGAGTAAGATCAAATATTAGTCTGAATGGCACAGGAAAGGGTTTTTTTTAAAATTAAAGTTGTGATATATTTGTATATTTTGAAATTGTATTGTAGAAATAAAGCTGATGCAAGTATTTAAATTTTTATAATTTCTATTATTTTAAGCATGTAACTGCTTGATGTTTAAACCTAAAGAAAATATAACTAGAAATAATATATCCACGCGGACCAGGCAGCAGACGGGACTCGAACCCGCACCCTTCGCAATCCGGGCGAATGCACTGACCTTCCTCCCCTCTAGCCTTTCTTAAGCTGCAAGGCAGCGCCATCTCTTCGCATTATATATTTTTCGCTATTGTGGGTTACCTATAATGCGAAGAGATGGCGCTGCCTTGCAGCTTAAGAAAGGCTAGAAGAATTTCGACGCGGCCGTGAGGGCCGCGGTAGCATAATTGGTCAGTGCATTCGCCCGGATTGCGAAGGTTGCGGGTTCCAGTTCCGTCAGCTGCCTGGTACGCGTGGATTTTTTTCTAGTTATATTTTCTTAAGTATTTAATAATTATAAAAAACAAGTTTTTTGTTTATTTTAGCTTGTTTAATTAAAATAATATATGTTACGGCTAAACGATTAGACTTTGTGAATACATATTTTGTTCATTGAATAATGAACATAGCCATACATACGTTGCGCCGATCTTTATCAAACGAATGGTAATTTGTATATCTGTATTCGCACCAGTGTACAGTAACATGTATACTATATACAAATATTCAGACAAATTCAGAAACACCTCTTTGTAAAGTCGGTTAAGAAAAAAACGTGTCGATTGTCGACTGAACTCGTTTAAATTGATTAACTTACTTAATATCGTAACGCGATACCAATTTTCTTTAAAGTTTAGATTTTGAAGTACATAATTATGTAAGTAAATATCTTTGGAATTTCAATTTGGAACGCATCGCGGTAGTATTTGAAATCAGTTTGCTGGTTAAGTTAAATTGTGAATAAAGAGTGTTTCTTTTTCAAAATCAGCCATAAAATATGTCATTCATTATGTTATTTTTAAAAATGGTATTTTTAACCAGGTGTATGTATCTCGCACCAATGAAGAAGCGAATCCCAAAAGGCTTCCTGTCAGGATAATTGGGCGAGAGGGACAGAATGTCTTCGTCGCCATTTTGGATTCGTTTTTTTAACGGTGCGAGATATAGTTACATAGTTAGAGAATCCTTGTATTATTATGACGTGTATAACCAAGCGAAACGGCTTTAATGGAAGCTTAAACCTAAGGAGCTTACCTTGAATCGAAAGTAAACCCCATTTTTGATGAGATTCTTCTTTTTGTGTTCCGTAGAGAGAGAGAGAGAGAGCGAGATTCTCTCTCTCTCTTTACGGAACATAAGAAGAGAGCACCTGTCAGCCTATAATAATGTTGCTGTTATACAAATAATCGACATATTTTATTTAGCTGTTATAATTAGCCGTGTTTAGAGGAAAATCGTACCTACATTATGTCCGTCATAAATTATAATTGTTATGACTAGGGCCCGGATTAATATGTAAATTTTAATTTATACGATTTTAGGTTTAAGGAATTTTATTTCTCATACGAACTTACACAGACAGTTCACTTAAAATGAGATATATAACTAAAACAAATAACTTAATTGAAATGACGCAGCGCAGTTGCTTTATAAAACTACTAGCAAACCAGTGAACCAAATGTTCACCAAAAAAAAAAATTTAATTAATTGAGAACTTCGGAGATTTTGTGTGGTTTCGTTTGAAATAGAAATCACGTGATTTCTCGAAAACCGGAAGTGCTACATTACTCACATCCGGTTTGTAGTCTTATCAGACTATTCTTAACTTATAACTTAAACATTCTCTATATCTATCTCTTACGGTTTGGCCGCTGAAACAGCACCACGGACGGACGGACGGACTTGTCTATTAGATAAGAGATAATTTAGTATAATAGGTAGGCAAACTATTGTTATTAATACGAGCACAATACAAAAATGCAATCCGGTATGTTTACGAGCGAATGACAAAATTATTATTTTGCTACCGTCCGTTCACAAAGAAAAAAAGAAAAACATGCAATTCGTACCGGCGCACAGTGGTCCGGATCCCGAATATAGTGGTCTTAGGAGCCAAGGTTAATATTTGGCGCTGAAAAAATTCATGCGGACAGACAAGTGAATTTTCGGTTTCATATGTGTTCTCTACCTAGATTATCAAGTATAGAATGTGAAAAAAAAAACCATATTTCATGTTTAAGTTCATATTTTACAAAAAAAATTACAGTCATCCATGTTATCAATTTTTATGTCTATGTTTTATGAATTAGTTTACAGAAATTGATATAATTGTACGTGTTTGCATTCTGGCCACCAGGCGGCCGCGGGTGTTTCATTTCCCACGCGTATTATTCGTCGTAATTAGATTTTTGATTATCTAAATTCATTTATTCCACATTACATCATTTGATGTGGGAAGATCTTTCAGCCAATAGCCAATAAGTCTATATTTAGGACCAAATTGACAAAGTTTTAATTTTGATTATTTAAAAAAGTATTTGATTATGCACTGTAATAAATTTAATAAGACAGATTTAGAGGAAGGAAAATAAATAATAATAAATAATAAATGTTAATTATTTTTATTTAGAACACCTGAACATTTCGCTATCTTTTTATTGTGTTTTTTTAATGTAGCTGTTACTGCATAGTAATTTTTCACAATAAACAATGTTTAATATGACAAATATATTTATTTTATATTCCATATTTTACATTTTTTAGTCCATTTAATAATTGGTACATATTTTGAATTTTTAATACATATTTATCCGTGCCCAATTCTGACCAAAGTATTTATTTTGTTATTGCAGAATGCACGGGGCTAATTTAATGATTACTGTCAAGTTATAATTTTAATTTTTTGAACATGTAACTGCTCGTTGTTGACGTTTAAATTACTGGTAATGTATCCACGAGATATTGTTATAAAAATAAAAATATTCCTTCTTTGTTCGATGTATACAGGGTGTTACAAAAAATACAAATAAAGCTTGAAGGGCGTTGAAGTACATCATTTAAGGAGTGTTCTCTAATTTTCTTAAAACATTTACATTAAGTTTTAACTTTTTTATAAAAACTATTATTTTTAATGATTAATAAAAATATCGGATCATTTTAAGACACGTCACTAGTTCGAGGATCATACTTTATGCAAATATTTTAAGAAAAATAGGGAAGACTCCTTATATGATGTACTTCAACGCCCTTCAAGCTTTATTTGTATTTTTGTAACACCCTGTATGTCACTCTTATTAATAAACGAGGAATAATGTTAGACTAGTTACGCCGTGTTGTGTTCATATCACTTCTCATTTGATGAACAGACACAAACCATGGAGTAACTAATCCAAGCTTATTCTTCGTTTATTAATAAGGGTGATTATGTTTTAATGGTTAATATTTTTACTCTTTATAAATATGAGAAAAAGAGACAAAATTATTTGTAAAGGGGCCGTTCTAGTATTACGTAAGCAGATTTATTACAATTATTTACCCCTTCCTCCCCCTTGTCAGCAAAAGTAAGCAAGCTCTTACCCCCCTCCCCCTCCCATGCTGACGTAAACATTGGAACCTATATACATTTTTCCTTTAATGTATGCTGTTTTTTTATTGATTCATGAGCTTCATGAGCAGCAGTACCTAAATAGGCTTAATATAGAGGAATTTAACGCACATAATATTACCTACCTATCATTTAAACAAACTTTATTGACACAGTATTCAACATAGAGTAAGGTACAAATATTATGTTATTAAGTACTATTACGCACAATAGTACTTAATAACATAATATTTGTACAGAATCCATGATGCTGACGTAATCACTATTTCAACCCCCCCCCCCCCCATGTCATCAAAAATAAGCAAAGCAAGGACCCCCCTGACCCCCTATAGAGCTTACGTAATACATGAACGGCCAAATTACCTATTAAAGTAAAACAGAATTTACTCAATATCGATAATCTAAACTCTATCGGTATGGGTATAAGGGCGTGGGTACAGATCATTGTGTAGTGAGACATAAAAGAAGGTTAATTTTGTAGAATTACTGTTTAAACCATTAAATTATTTTCGTGCATTTGACAGTAGTGCCGCGAGCGACGCGATATGAGTGCAATAATAGTGAGGAGGGCGCACGCCGTATGTTGTTGATACATTGTATGTTTTATATGTTGTGAAATACATACATTATTCATGTAGAAACTGACGTGTTGTTTAATTTCTAATACTGATTTTAAGATGTAGGGCATAACGAAATTGTAGAAAGATATGTAATAAAGGTACTATGCGATTGAAATAAGAATAGGAAAGCGTATATGTTAAATATCGCTTGTAAAGTACAGTTGTGCAAAAAAACTTATCATTTACTATGCGATTCAAATGAGAATAGGAAAGCCAAAGACCACCTGTTAAATGTCGCTTGAAAAGTACGAATGTGCAAAAAAAACTTAGAACACTTTTATTTAGCACTGAGTTAATCTTAGAATAAATACCAATCATTTGTAAACAAAAAAAAAAGAAAGAAATCATATGAAACGTATAGAAAATGAGTACTGGAATAGGGAAATATAAGAACTTTAGTTTGATTATGAACTAGTGGCCCGCCCTCGCTTCGCTTCGGTGTAGAGCTGGAGTGTAGATTAAAGTTTTTGTTCTCAGGCTTGTATTATACACAATGACATTCATCTATGATTCTTCTTATACCTGCATGCAAAGTCTCAGCCCAATCGGTTTAAAATTGACAAAGTAAGACATTTTTTTGGCAGGCAGGCAAGGTGGCAAAGTCGAAATTCGGGAAGTGCACCTCAAAATCTATAAAATTACCAATTTTCAAAACTCCCGGAAAACTTTCCAGCTAAAACTAACAAATGACTGTATTAATTATCAAACAGTCCGATCAACCGTAGATTAATTTCTAACCTCAAACACACTCACAACATGACTGATAAAGTACTCGTGTATAAAGATAGCCAGGTTAATCTTTCGTCGGTCAACCGACAAACAGATTTAAATCGGACTGATATGTGTACGAGCCCTTGTCAACTCAGTACATTGAATTGCTATTTCTTGATATCGAAGACAGGAAAACACTTGATAAACTTGACGAAAATATTTATTAT